GCTCTTTGGTCCCACCTCTCAACTGCCAATCAACTGGTAATCTGTCACACAGATCAGTAGGGGACAATTAAACTGTAAACAATCCTATATCAACAAAGATCGTTTTCTATTTGTTAACCCCAAATAGATTGTTAGGTTAAGCCATATGAGCCTAGGTTAGGTTGGGTTTGGTAAATTTTAGTAGGCTTTAAAATCCATTATCCAACTGTCTTGGGTAGTAAGTGATTTCTTGTTGCAACTCCCACACTAAGACAGATTTCGACTATCACACGAGTCCTTGTGGCGCAGTGGTACAACACTCGCCTGGTGCTTCGCGAGTGCTTTCGTCTGAATTCTTATCCTAGCCAGGGAGGATTGATTGAGCGCCAATCCTTAACTGTAGCCTCTATTCACTCTGCAGTGAATGGTGTACCTGGTTGTTAAACGAATTGGCAGGTATTACAGGGAAAATTATTATTAAGGACTTGACTGAAACGCTATGAGTGCTAATGACTGAACAAGAATGTAAGAACATACAGGGTTTTATATATATACACACTAGTATATATATATCCGTACTAGGGAGGTGAGACTGACCTATGAGGGAGAATTAACACGCAGAGAAACACATCTTGACCCAAAGCAGATGGCAAACTTGACAATGGATGAAGGGGGACCTTCGACAAGCCGCCGGCTTCCTATCCTCGTCGAGACCACTAGTGCCAGTGGCCCCTCAGGTAAATTCCGGTAAATACTGAAGACGACACACGTGCCAGAGCCCTGCTGGACCACACGACGTTGTTTACGGGGACTGGTCAAGTCGTATACTGCAATTTCGGATACCGGGCTAGAAACAACTTCGTTCACTGAGAAGTTTGTACATACAAACCATTCCGTTCGTATATGCGCTGGTTTGTGTTCGCTGTTGTTATCATCTGAATAAATACATGGCATTTGTTCATATAATTAGCGCTTCCATTATTAGAATTATTTATCCATTATTAGAATAACAAGGTGCAAACCATACCCCCTTACAGTTGAAATCTATTTATATACAAGAAGGTACATTGGGTTGCGAGAGTACATAACATATATTAAGAGGTACATTGTAGCAAGATTTGAGATTAAAGGATTTAAGACCAACACGTTTAGAAACAAGGCGCCCCCGAAGGAGGCTATTATTTGTTATGCACCCCATACTCAACCAGTAAGTAGTGGAGCAAAACATAGATTACATAGTCATAAAGTCTTAATCAGACCAATTCAATTCTATTTCTTTCTTTATTATGCACCCCATACCTATCCCGTGGGCGGTGGTGTAAAGGATTACAGAGGCACATAATCGGTTCAGGAACTGAACCCTCTAGTTCGTTTAGCTAAGCAAATAACAATTTGTGACGCTAGTTACAAAATTATTAATATTATATATATACATGTACACACTCTCATACATACATGTACATATATATATATATATACGTATACATATATATATACGTATACATATATACATGCACATACATATCTAATCACCTACACAAATACACACATCAATAATCTTTGTGTCACAAGTGATCAATAAGAGGCTCACAACAGTCACTATACAAAGCACTTTACATCTATGGTGAGTCACACAGTTACTAGTCTTGCTGCACACCCACCCAACTGGGCGGCAGCTTAACAGTCATTTGCTCCACACCCATCCAACTGGGCGGCAGCTTTACAGTTATGTGCAGCATTACCTACAGTAAGCAAATTTTGGATACTTCGCTAAGATTTCGAGCAGCACATCATTATGAATGAAGTACTTACACATTTCTTGGACACTATTGATGGTGTTATCCCTAAATTCCGCGATTTTTTCACATTCCATTATATAATGGCGCAAAGTAAGCGAATAGTTCTGCTGACAGTTTACATTTAGTCAAATCTACATCAGCAGATGTTACAAACTCCCAGAGGTACTTGTAGCCGAACCTAAGCCTAGCAGTGGTAACATCTAGAAGTCTGCTAACATTATTGGATGACCCATAGACGTGCGGTTCTTCCTGCATAATAGAATGATGATAGATGGAGTAACTGGTGTGAATTTCACTTTGCTTCAAGTCTCCGAAATTTAGCTGATGTTCCTGGGATATTGCTGCCCTCAGGCTGCTCAAAGGCAGTCCAAGTTTGTAATCAATTCCCTCTTTACGAGCAAAAGTCTTGGGCAACTCATCAGTTCTCAGTGGCTATTTTTACATTATCATTTACAACTAACTTAAGTTAAATAACAACCAGTAAACAGACTGCTGTTTTCTAATTCTAGTTCAGGCACTTCCTGGGATAAAACGCGAACATTCCTTGAGGAACTGTGAGGTGCTTATCTGTTTTTCCTCGTAACGGTCCCAAAGCTTCCACAAATGTTCCTGTTTCTCTTCATTGCTCTTGCGGCGACTGGACTTTAGCTTTTGATCAGAAACCAGTTGGTATTGCAAGGTTACCAGGGACGCCTCACGGTACAGTAAGGGGATTAAAATATATAAAGCCAAGTTGTCCCTCACTGCCCATTGATTCAGACGCTGGTGCCATCCTTCTACGTCATTGTTGGTCCTCACCAGTCGTCTAAATGCACACCAGTTCCCCAATTCCCACACACTGTTGCACAGCCCTTTCCACAGCCCTTGGGCCCTTTCTGGGCCTGTACCCGGGCCCTCTCTGGGCCTGTTAACATGAAAACGTCTCTCGAGTTTATCTCTCTAATGTTTTCCCATCTTTCATTTTATCAGCTTAGTTCCTTTATTATGCCCCAATTACTCATCCATTGAGCGGTAGTTAAACTGAACCCAAATTTAAAAAAAGTTCCTTTTGCTAAGCAAGCTACAGTCTTGATAACGTCAGATACATTGTTTGTTAACACATTTCTCAACAATGAACAGTCAGTTTTATCAAGCTAACATATCCTAACAGAACGAGTGAGAGTATTAACTGGTCTAATTATTTTATTAGACCAGTATATATTATTAGATTATACTGGTATAATTATATATATATAAAAATATATATATATATTACAACTATTTAACACTGGGAAGGGATCAGGATAAGGATTTGGGATGGGATGGGGAGGAATGGTGCCAAACCACTTGGACGGCGGTCGGGGATTGAACGCCTAGGACTGCTACTGTGCATTTAAATTACTAACTTACCTGAGAGTCTCTATCCCTACATGTCAATGTTTGTGTATACTGGTAATGTGAGGAACATACAGAAGATAAGGGTAGCTGAACACTACAAAAGGCTGAAGGACAACTTTATTAAAGTTGCATAATGAAATGTGTAAGTACTTCATTCATAATGATATGCTGCCCGAAATCTTAGCGAAGAATCCAAAATTTGCTTACTGTAGGTAATGCATGCACATGACTGTAAAACTGCCGCCCAGTTGGGTGGGTGTGGGTGGGTGTGGAGCACATGACTGTAAAGCTGCCGCCCAGTTGGGTGGGTTTGCAGCAAGACTAGTAACTGTGTGACTCACTATAGATGCAAAGTGCCTTTTATAGTGACTTGTGAGCCTCTTGTTGATCACCTGTGACACAAAGATTATTGATGTGTGTATTTGTGTAGGTGATTAAATATGTATGTGTATGTATATATGTATACGTATATATATATATATATATATATATATGTATACGTATATATATATATATATGCGAACAAGCCTGAATGGTCCCCAGGACATATGCAACTGAAAACTCACACCCCAGAAGTGACTCGAACCCATACTCCCAGAAGCAACGCATCTGGTATGTACAAGACGCCTTAATCCACTTGGATTAAGTGGGGACCATTCAGTGGGGACCATGTCCTGGGGACCATTCAGGCTTGTTCGCATTTGTGTTCCTCACGTGTTGCCCCAAAGAATGAGGTGATTTGGTAAAATGCTATGCCCAAGATAACTATCCGAGTGCCGGCGGTGGGGTGGTTCAAATAGCCTCGGCTATCACCTCATTATGTCCGGTCGTGATGGTCAAGTGGATTAAGGCGTCTTGTACATACCAGATGCGTTGCTTCTGGGAGTATGGGTTCGAGTCACTTCTGGGGTGTGAGTTTTCAGTTGCATATGTCCTGGGGACCATTCAGGCTTGTTCGCATTTGTGTTCCTCACGTGTTGCCCCAAAGAATGAGGTGATTTGGTAAAATGCTATGCCCAAGATAACTATCCGAGTGCCGGCGGTGGGGTGGTTCAAATAGCCTCGGCTATCACCTCATTATGTCCGGTCGTGATGGTCAAGTGGATTAAGGCGTCTTGTACATACCAGATGCGTTGCTTCTGGGAGTATGGGTTCGAGTCACTTCTGGGGTGTGAGTTTTCAGATATATATATATATATATATATATATATATATATATATATATGTATGTATGAGTGTGTGTACATGTGTATACAACATTAATAATTTTGTAACTAGCGTCAAACATTGTTATTTGCTTAGCTAAACGAACTAGAGGGTTCAGTTCCTGAACTGATTATGTGCCTCTGTAATCCTTTACACCACCGCCCACGGGATGGGTATGGGGTGCATAATAAAGAAAGAAATAGAAGAAATTGAAATTGCATAATACGGTTATTGACATTCAATAATAGTAAGATAAAGCAATGAGGACCAAATGGGAGACCAGTGATCAGATGAATATTACAGACTCAAGGGTAGCCTTCTCTTCTTGTATATAAATGAAAAAATAAATGTTTGTTTAATTCTAATGCTTGTAGGCGAGAACAGTTGTGAACGCCAGCTAGCGCACAAGTACATGAGCGCCCAAAATACTTTTACACAAAAGACATGTACAGACAGGCGTGTGGCTTCTGACTTCTTTTTTATTGATTAATATTAAATATTAGGCGCTTACCTATAATAGTTATCATTTTATACATGTATAACTCTCACATAATAAATATAAAAGGAGTTTATCCAAAAACTGACAGAAGTGTTGTGTTTTGTGCGTTGTATCGTGTTTGTGGGCATTCGGGTGTGTTGTGTTTACGCTGGCGGGCGGCGTCCTTACCAACTCCGGATTATGTCTATTACATCACTAAACTTCATTTAATAACTATATGCCTGTTAAATAGAAGATTTTAATTGTTAATAGCATTATATTGTCGTTTTAATATGGAACACGTACACATATGCGAAACGTCTAAAGCTGGTGTCCGAAGTGGTAAAAATATTAGTGTGCGATGTTGTCAATGTACGGAGTGTCTTGTATCCGTTGTTTACATCGCCAGCAGTGTTGTCACATCCAAATTGCTGAAAGTAGCGAACTGAGGGTCTAAAAGTAGCGATTTTGTGATATGAGTAGCCCAAATTTTTTTTTTTAGTGACTGATATGGGCTTCAAAGTAATATATTTTGATATAGAGTACACTACACGACGTTGTTTTATTAATATTATTTCTGCACACACACGCACAATATATATATATATATATATATATATATATATATATGTCGTACCTAATAGCCAGAACGCACTTCTCAGCCTACTATTCAAGGCCCGATTTGCCTAATAAGCCAAGTTTTCATGAATTAATGTTTTTTCGTCTACCTAACCTACCTAACCTAACCTAACCTAGCTTTTTTTGGCTACCTAACCTAACCTTACCTATAAATATAGGTTAGGTTAGGTTAGGTAGGGTTGGTTAGGTTCGGTCATATATCTACGTTAATTTTAACTCCAATAAAAAAAATTGACCTCATACATAGAGAAAAGGGTTGCTTTATCATTTCATAAGAAAAAAATTATAGTAAATATATTAATTCAGGAAAACTTGGCTTATTAGGCAAATCGGGCCTTGAATAGTAGGCTGAGAAGTGAGTTCTGGCTACTAGGTACGACATATATATATATATATATATATATATATATATATATATATATATATATATATATATATTTATATATAATAATAGGATAAGTTACCAATATTTACTGTATGAAGCATAATATGGGTGTGGAGTCCTTCCACGTCTTCACATATGCGCTGGCGTGTGTTCGCTTCAGTTCTCGCCTGAAACAAATGAATGAATTAAATAAGTTTGTCTTAACTTTCATATTGCAAAATCATATCAAGATTTCTACACTACAATCATTGTAGGTAGATGCCCCAAATGCTGTGCGTATTAGTGGCTTTAAGCATAGTATGTACTAGCTTTTATCTATTAGTCCAACATTCTGCTTGTAATTTTTTTAATGTATTTACTTTTACCTGAATAAACATTATTATTATTATTATATAGATATTAAATGTGGGCTGACGTGCTTAGCGCTGACCAGCGAGTAGTAGTTTATTGTGCACCCCCGAAGTCCGGTTGTGTAACCGGAGCCCGACCAGTTGTGAAAACGCAAGCCTAGCATTTACAAACCAAAAGACCTCTGAAGAACAACCATGCATGAACCGAAGCCCGACCATGCACAACCCGAAGCCCAATTGACACCCTCGGGGCCCGACCAGTTATTTAACCAGAGACCAACCAATTGTGAACCGACCAGTTGTGTAACCGAAGCCCGACCAGTTATTGAACCGCAAGCCTAACAAGAATGAACCGAACCAAAAAAATCTGAAACACAACCATGCATGAACCGAAGCCCGACCATGCACAACCCATGGCCCAAGTGACACCCCCGGAGCCCGACCAGTGCACCCTGAGCCCGACTAAGAACCTACCCCGAGCCCTACAGAGGTTCCCCAAGCCCGAGAGCCTATCCCGATCCTGAAAGAGCCCACCCCCAGCCTGACCGGCAGCCAACCCCAAACCCTACCAAGAACCCACCCCCAAGCCCTACCAAGAACCCACCCCCAAGCCCTACCAATAACCCACCCGAAGCTGGACAGACACCCACCTGGAGCCCGAACAGTCACCCACCCAGAGCCCGCCAGTTGAGTACCTAAAGCCTGCCCGGAGCCCCGACCGACAACCCACCCCGGAGCCCCGACCGACAACCCACCCCGGAGCCCCGACCGACAACCCACCCCGGAGCCCCGACCGACAACCCACCCCGGAGCCCCGACCGACAACCCACCCCGGAGCCCCGACCGACAACCCACCCCGGAGCCCCGACCGACAACCCACCCCGGAGCCCCGACCGACAACCCACCCCGGAGCCCCGACCGACAACCCACCCCGGAGCCCCGACCGACAACCCACCCCGGAGCCCCGACCGACAACCCACCCCGGAGCCCCGACCGACAACCCACCCCGGAGCCCCGACCGACAACCCACCCCGGAGCCCCGACCGACAACCCACCCCGGAGCCCCGACCGACAACCCACCCCGGAGCCCCGACAGAGAACCCACTTGGAGCCCGACAGAGAACCCACTTGGAGCCCGACAGAGAACCCACTTGGAGCCCGACAGAGAACCCACTTGGAGCCCGACAGAGAACCCACTTGGAGCCCGACAGAGAACCCACTTGGAGCCCGACAGAGAACCCACTTGGAGGCCGACAGAGAACCCACTTGGAGCCCGACAGAGAACCCACTTGGAGCCCGACAGAGAACCCACTTGGAGCCCGACAGAGAACCCACTTGGAGCCCGACAGAGAACCCACTTGGAGCCCGACAGAGAACCCACTTGGAGCCCGACAGAGAACCCACTTGGAGGCCGACAGAGAACCCACCCCGCGCCCAACCTTTCATGGAGAAAATTGAACACCAGGCGACAAAAATAATTGCAGAATGAGGTCTAGTTTCATACCATGAACGGTTGAGGGTCACAGGGCTAACAACACTGCAAACTAGGCATGCCAGGATGGATCTCACCGAAACTATTAAAATATCGACTTGAATCGACTTGAGAATGGTCCAGGACGGACCGAAACGTCGTCGTCCCTTCAACTTCTAGTGTGTGGTCTGGTCAACATACTTCAGCCACGTTGTGACTCATCGCCTGCCTATTAAAATATTGAAAAGTTTCCAAGATATGGATCCAGAGAACAACTTCAAAAGGTCAGATGGAACACAAACAAGGAACAACGGTTTCAAGTCCAACAAGCCGCAGTGTAGGACTGAAAACATAAGCTATATTTTCACCCACAGGGTTATTAACCCATGGAACCGCCTATCTGCTAAAGCAGTAAATAACATAACACTTGAATTGTAAAATCCAATTTGAAAAAAAATCGGAACAAATGGGGGACCTGATCTGCTACCAGAAATTTTAGCCAAATATCCCCAGTTTGCTAACTGTAGGTAGTAACCGAGTGATTGTAACCTATCCACCGCTGCCCACTGGATGGGGGGCGGTGTGCAGGACAAACATATCAATTGTGACACTAGCTCTCCACATATGTCAGTTGCTTAATTTAGAACCTGTACTTGAGGTCGATCTCGAACCCATTGTTGATGTGACGACTTATATTGAATTTTGTAACTAGCTCATCAAGATTGTAACTTGCTTAACTAAATGAATTGTGGGGTTCAGTCCCTGAGCCCATTATGTGCCTCTGTAACCCTTTCCACTACCGCCCACAAGATGGGTATGGGGTGCATAATAAACGAACTAAACTAACATTGATAGGCATTGTTCGAAGCAAACTCCATACGCAAAACCCCATTATATTATATAATTCTATATACTGTGTATATATAAGATATAAATATGTCAAAAAGAATTATCACTCTTACCTGGAGCAATGTTGCTGATGTCGGAAATCAGCGGTATATGTTGTCGCGTTGGCGGCACCGACGATACTGACCGGCTGATCGAGCCTTCAACGACCAACCGCCGTTTGAACGCCATTTTGAAATTCCAGGGCTGCCATTCACACCTCAAGATAAATATCTATTTATTTTGATTCTGTTTATTTCAATATTTAAATGAAAGTATAATGGATTATTTTCTACAATTTTGGTGTGTAAATGACAGAATCTAATAAGCTATTTAGTTACGCATATAAAAATAATAAATTATAAACATTCTTCCACTAACAACAGAGGAGTATAGAGATGCGTATTGAGGTCGTGAATTGGTCGAGACGCTGTTATAAAAAGGGATTAAAAACCCACAATTATACAACAGGAGTTAAACACGCTGAATAATATGACAGGGTTAGACCAACTGCCTTATATAACAGGGGTTGGACACACTGAATTATGTCTCAGAGAGTAATCCCACTAAGTTATATAACAGAGGCACAGGTCAGTATCTACGGTTATCGATCATGGTCAGCCTAGTCCAAGTGCTAAAATTTCCCAGGATGCCACCCACAACAGTCGATTAGTTCCCGGGGGGTATCTATTCACTGCATCAGGTGCAAGAAAACGTGCCCAACTGTTTCTATCCCGCCTGGAGATCGAACCAAGGTTCCTTAATTGAAAGTCCAAGATGTAGACCACTGCGCTTGGACCCTCTGAGTTATATAGCAAAGGATGAACTCACAATCATATTCGTAGATCCCCGGGTTCGATTCCCGGGCGCGACAGAAATGATTGGGAATGTTTTATTTCCCATGATGCCTCTGTTCACCTAGCAGTAAATAGGACCCCGTGAGCTAGGCAAGTTGTGTAGCTAGTCAAGTCACTAGTTGGCCTTGGGGGACTTCAATAAGCCTACGTATAGGCTTGCTGTCCCAAGCAAAGGAAAAGTGGATATAGTATAGTTAGCCCTCACCACCATTTTCTCTGATGCGGCAGACATCTATATAACACATTATAGTAATCTAACTGCTTTGTTTAGTTAGATAAGTCCAATTAATTTTAAAATAAAGGGACCGCGTCGTACATACACGACGGGTTTGCTTATGCAGGTTCTGCCCCCGCGTCGTAAATAGCCGCGCGATAAAAAAAAAAAAAAAAACATAAAACCCAATTCTTATTCGATCGAATTGGAGTTAGTATGAAAATGTTTGCCATTAAATTTTCATTTTCTCTAATAGGCACATGGCCTATTTGAGAAAACGGCATTGTATTGTAACTTAGAGGAGAGACTATTGAGTTGGTGACACAACGAGGGTAATCGCCCACTTCACACACTCTTGTGTGGGCCGCGATCATGATTCTACATTTATATGCATATGTTTGTGTAGAGGATTTTATTGCGAGTTCAGTGATATAAAATTTAACGCTGTAGGACTAATGTGGAGCTGACAACAATCAAAAGAGTATGAACATTTTGTTGCTATTTGGGCGTCACGGCGAGTGATTTACGTTTTATTTATTTCGTGGTGGGATAGCTAATGCTTTGGTGACATGTTATACATATGATCTTGTAGAGAATTTTATTGCCAACACATTGATATCAAAATGAAATACGTAGCTCGAGAATTGGTGTCAGGAGAGTGAAAAGATTGCACACTTTTTGGTGTTTACGCTCAAGAGCCCAAAACGCCGCGCGCACAATGCGCTATTTTTTTCATGGGGACCGCGCGCATTAAAATGTTTTAATAATAATAATTATATTTTATTTAGGAAAAGTACATACATAGATGCAGTTACAATCATTCTGATTGATTTATAGATAAAGCTAGTACATACAATACCTAAAGCCACTAGTACGCATAGCGTTTCGGGCAAATTCATTGTGGACCCCATACCCATACTGTGGGTGGTAATAGACCCCATACCCATCCTGTGGGTGGTAGTGGACCCCATACCCATCCTGTGGGTGGTAGTGGACCCCATACCCATCCTGTGGGTGGTAATGGACCCCATACCCATCCTGTGGGTGGTAGCAGACCCCATACCCATCCTGTGGGTGGTAATGGACCCCATACCCATCCTGTGGGTGGTAATGGACCCCATACCCATCCTGTGGGTGGTAATGGACCCCATACCCATCCTGTGGGTGGTAGTGGACCCCATACCCATCCTGTGGGTGGTAGTGGACCCCATACCCATCCTGTGGATGTTAGTGGACCCCATACCCATCCTGTGGGTGGTAGTGGACCCCATACCCATCCTGTGGGTGGTAGTGGACCAACAGAACCCAATGTGTAATAGTCAACAAAATAAAATCCAGCCCATCAACCGTGAAGAGCTCAGTCCCCCAGGGTACTGTGCTTGCTCCAGTACTTTTTCTCATCCTCATATCAGACAGACAAGAACACAACCTATAGCACTGTATCATCCTCTGCAGATGACACTAGGATCTTCATGAGAGTAGGCAACATAGAGGACACGGCAAACCTCCAGTAAGATGTAGATCAGGTCTTTCTATGGGCTACAGAAAATAATATGGCGTTTAACGAAGATAAGTTCCAGCTCATGCGCTATGGAAAAAATGAAAATATAAAAACGGAAACCACGTACAAAACTCAGGCAAATAATAACAAAGAACGAAAAGGCAATGTAAAGGATCTGGGTGTACTCATGTCGGAAGACCTTACCTTTAAAGAACACAATAAAGTAGCCATCACAACTGTAAGAAAAATGACAGGTTGGATAACAAGAACTTTTCACACTAGAGATGCTATACCGATGATGATACTTTTCAAAATGCTTGTGCTCTCTAGAGTGGAGTACTGCTGCACAATGACAGCCCCTTTCAAAGCTGGAGAAATTGCTGACCTGGAGAGCGTGCAGAGATCCTTTACTGCTAGAATCCACTCAGTAAAACATCTAAATTACTGGGACAGACTAAAGAGCCTAAATCTGTACTCCCTTGAGCGCAGGCGGGAGAGATACATAATAATTTACACGTGGAAAATAATTGAGGGGCTGGTCCCAAACCTGCACACAGAAATAACATCACATGAGACCAGAAGACATGGCAGGATGTGCAGAATACCCCCGTTGAAAAGCAGAGGTGCAACAGGTACTCTGAGAGAGAACTCTATCAACATCAGAGGCCCGAGACTGTTCAACACGCTTCCACTACACATAAGGGGCATAACTGGCCGACCCCTCACAGTGTTCAAGAGAGAACTGGATAAGCACCTCCAAAGGATACCTGATCAACCAGGCTGTGACTCATACGTCAGGCTGCGAGCATCCGCGTCCAACAGCCTGGTTGATCAGTCCGGCAACCAGGAGGCCTGGTCGATGACCGGGCCGCGGGGACGCTAAGCCCCGGAAGCACCTCAAGGTAACCTCAAGGTAGATAACCTCAAGATAACATCCAGGGACACATGATGCAAATTAATCATCCCAGCTTTGCACCTTTTTTTATAAATACATATTTTGTATTGTAAAATACCAAAACTCTTTGGGCATCAATTTAGGATAAAAAAACATACATATTTATTAAAAATGTTGCATAGATTTATTTGATGGGAATATGTACATTAGAGTAAAAACTTCTAATTATTGATGGGACCAGATTACTATACAAAATGAAGAAAAATTATATATATATACAAAATCTAGCCTAGGACTGAAGATTTGACAATGAGCACTGATTAGGTGGACTTGGTCTAAATGCATAAAATAAGACCCAAACAAACAGAATGGGCAGGAAATTAGAAACATTGGATGATCAAACAGCTTAGGGGAGAGGAGGGGGGGGGAGAAGGGACCCTAATGATACACATGCTTATGTTTACATGTACCTTTAGGTAACCAAGGTTGGGGGGGGGGCAAGGTAATCTCAATTAATGTAAAGGAATTTTCAATCAAATATTCATCCAATATTGCACTTTTCATATATAAATACATAGTACGTCACTTAAAACCAATACCAAAAAATTTAAAGCCTTGGCTTCCCTAACAGTTCATCTTTATTATCATGAAGGCACTACTTTTGTCAGGCTAAAGATGAAACTCCTGGTCCATAATGACTCCCCATTTATATTAAATGAAACAAGTCTTCCATAAAACTTTTACATAGTTGTAATATGTCAACAGTTTACAGCCTCAAGATATAGGGGACACTCAGACTATTAACAAATCCATAAAAATGTATATATACTTAAAAAAATTTAAATTGCATTTAATATATAGGTAATTATTTTTTATTAAATAGTAAACCAAAAATAGATTATTGTGTGCCCCCACATCAAAATAAGGTTATGCATCGTAACACACAGATTAAGCAATAGTCAGAAGCTGTCAAATCTGCAGCAGCAAAATAAATGAAAAGCTTTTTAATAAGAGCAAGAATGAAACAGGTTGAAATATGACAACTGTTACAATCTTCTTTTTCCTTCAAAATTAAACAAAACAAAAAGTAAAATCAAATATACAATACAGAACAATATGTATGCGTGCACACGCATGCATGCATCCATGTATTCATATCATGCATACACTTGCAAGTAAACATTGATCTAATCGCACAATTATGCATACAATTGTCCCTTTATTTACACACACACAATTCTGCCTTCACTTAAAATTCTAAAAATACTAAAAATGAGCATTGACATTTAAGGAGTCCACATCTATTTCAAAACTAATCTTCAATTTCTGCACTTTGCTTTTGTTTCCAGTTTAATTCTTGCTCTGAAAATGCAAGTGTCTGAGGAAGCTCGACATCATTGTCAGTACACGCAAGCATTGACCAATCAAATCCACAAAAGCACTCCTGTTGTATCCAAATACACACGCACACAACTTTCACACGGTATGTACAGCAACAGCAAATGTACAGACATTCTAGGACAACATATACAGACAACAGTGTTGAATCGGGTAACGCTTAACATAAAATAATGTAAGGCGTCTATACAGATGCAACACTTCATACATCTTTCTTTTAGCTATTTATGTAGGCACCTAACACTTGTTACATGGCAGGATGATTACCATATATAATAGTCTCTCTGTGCATAACTAACTTCGCAGTCAATGTGTGACCATTAACAGATACCCATTGTCAATTGAAGTGTAAGACAGTAATACTGAATAATTATAAGGTGGGATGCATGCAGTATAAAATTATCTGCCCAAATGCAGGTATGGTTAGCACCTTTCTACCTTTTCTGTATCGGCCAAAACAAGTCTCACTAGGTTGCCTTTATAAACTCGAACCTGTAATAGTGTAATGCAATCATCGGCTACATCTAATAGTACAATTTAAGACCTGATACTTGTTCTCCCAGGTATATTTTCTATCATTCCACATTAGCATTATTTTTGCTCAAACCTTTTCAAGAAATGGTACAGTACATGTATACCATTAGTCCTCCCTAAGAATATAAAACTGCTCAAATAATCAGATTTCTTATTCAAAATGCCTCAAACTTACATATCTGTAATTTAACACAATCTACTTAACTGATGATATATAATGTGACCAATATGCAGTACTCCAGATACAAAATTTGTCAAGAGATTTTATCTTTACACTAATATAAAATGTAAAACAAACAAAACAAGGAAAGAAATACGTTCAATATGATACTTAAGGACCCAGGATAGCATGTAACCAGCTAATCATGTACCATCAATGCTCTTAGTGCAGTTTTAATAAATGTTTGAAGTTTGAAATTGCAATGAGATTAATATTGATATGTAGAATTTCAGTCTTCAATTTGTGGAGATATGCAGTTTTCACACTGCATTTCGAGATCGAACTATTTATATATAATGATCCTGGCCTTAGTCACCCATGGAAGCACTACCATGGGGCAAATCAAACAATGTACCCCTCCTACTACATTTATAGTTCTTTCTTCAGCTGCACTCACTATAGTGTCACTTCATATTCTACTAGATTTGCTCCACCTCATTTTAATTTGCAACTTTTCATTTTTTTCTGGTTAACTGTAGTTCTCTTTTAATGTTCCTTCACTTTCACTTTCTTCTTTGTATATGCATGTTGAAGCACTCTCATAATTAACACAGAAGACTTCCCTTTTCAGTTGGCTAACTGAGGACAAAGTTACTTTATAGATGTTTCAGATACTTTAAGTTTTTAGAACACACACATGCCTGGGAAACGGTGTGTGTGGGGGGCGGTGCCACCCACCCTTCATGAAATGAGTGTTCCCAGAGAACGAGAGAGAGAGAGATATGGCTAGAAAATCTCATTCAGACACTGTCAATTAGAATTTTCTTTCCCTTTTTCATGCAAGGCCTTCCTTGGTGCTAGAGATTGAAGGCGTGGAATAAATATTTTCCATTCAATCTCAAATGCCTTTTCACCAATAAAAATATTTAAAATAAAATGAGTCTTTAGGCAATAAAATACGTTTTTCTTCAGTATTTTACATAAATCCCTCGACTATTATAATGTGCGAAGGATAATATCGTTTCTTTTTGTAGAATTTATGCACACACACTTGTAAACATACAGCCTCAACTTTTTTTTTTTTTCCTTGGCAAGCATTTAACTCCTTCAAGCTGGCACCATCACTTTTATGAAAAAACAACAAAACTTACTGGAATGTTGGGCTCTTGCCACTTTCAACAACAAATAATTTGGATTCAAACTCCCACCAATTTCTTATGGCAACTGGAAGTCATAATTTCTCAATCCACAATGGTTATTAATGTCATCTTAATGACTATTTTCATAACTTCAAAAGCCACTGCTTGTCAAACCAAGTGAAAACCTGCCAATATACATTACTGTAGTATCATGCAACATTAAGGAGAACCTTTACACTATTAAAACTCTCCTGAATAATGACAAGCTGAGCTGTACAGATGGCAAGGATCATCCATTGTCAAATATTGAAAAGAAATTAACCTCAAAGCTTCCAAAACAATTCCAACATTCTTTCAATGTTTGTGTTGTGGAGGAATAGAGGCAATTGTGTCTTGCTACACAAATTTTCTCATCACGACAATATCAGATCAAATGCAACAAGCCTAAGCAGATACTTATGATGCAATAGGCCTGTCCAGTAAAAATTAAAATTAATTCATTCGGGCCAACAACAAGGCGTGTCTAACGCATCCATTCAAATATAGGCACATTTGGCAGGCTTAAGAAGCTTGCTGTCCGTTGTGGTGTTGGTATTGGACTTGCCATTAATATTCTTGGGATTATAGTTAGTCACTAGATTGTTGATGTGTTTGTTGTTGGCCGTGTACATGTTTGGGTCCGCTGCAGGTACTAAATTGTCTCTTCTGAAATTGAATAAAATAAGAAAATTAATTTACGAATCAAATTCTTTGGCACTATTAGGAGCCTCTTCTGAAGTATTGTACTATTATATATCAAAATAAAATAATGTAACAGGCTATTCATATATCTTATATTAACCCATTCTGTTTGGATAGTACTTTTTTTTTGGATAGTACGTGGATAGTATTGTACTATTATATATCAAAATAAAATAATGTAACAGGCTATTCATATATCTTATATTAACCCATTCTGTTTGGATAGTACTTTTTGTAACAATGTGCCTCATTGTACAAACACTGATGTACTAAGCAATTGGACAGTAGAATTTTGTACTATTCACTTTATAGTCTAGAAAAATGAAGCTAAAAATCAAACTTATATATTCCTAGGTCTAGTATAGCACACACAGATAGGCCTCAGATAGTATGTATTAGGCCTAAGAAGGTTATGTTAGTTCGTCTTTGCAACATAAATAGAAAATCTTTTCTGGTTTGTCCAAATTCAAAAGTACCTATTTCTACTTTTCTAATTGTGTTGTATGTCAATATATGTACTATGGTCATCATTATTATAAGTACAGTACTACCAAAACAGGAGGATGGGCTGCTTATAATCAAAACAAATTTATTCCACACTTCAACCAATTCTTCCTACTTACTTATTGAGTTTTGAATCCAAATAAGGTGTCTCAGAGTACGTATGAGCATATTCATCTCCTCGACACTTGCGAGAAAACAGGAAGCCAGAGATAAAGCCAATGACAAGTGCAGCCACACAAGCAGTGGTGACAGCAATGGCCAGAGTTTCTGCCGAGTAGATTGGTGGGCCCTCAAGCGAGGCTCCAACCACTGGACCTGAGGAAATAATTAGATATTGATGGGATTATTCTTTTATTTTTTTTTTTACTGGTATTAATAACAGTTGTTCCTCTATATGAAACAAAGAAAACTAGTACAAAGCATAACCTGAAAATACAGACAAATTAATCTTGCTTATATTGTACCTACAGAAATATATATACAAGGGCACGCACAGAGGCTAGATAAGTGGGGCATGTGGGAACTCGTGAGAAAACTGCAGATGGAACCAAGTGCAGCGCACGAGGAGATGAAAAAACCTAAAAAAAGCCCTCCCTCAGACTCAGGTCGAGGCAGCCAACCCCCCAGGAAGCAGGGGATATAGCAAAGACAGGGATCTCTACAAGGGTGACACCTTTGCTGAAATGTTGAGCAAGAGCCCAGAAGCCATATCCACAGTCAAGGAAGTTGCAATGAAAGCAGTAATTTCACAGGAGGCAGCTAGATGCAAGAGTCAGCTAATGGAAATGGGAAAAGAGCTGTAGTTGTGGTAGGTATTAAGTAACAAGAAGATTCCAGGCAGGAACAAAGGAGGGCTAAGGCCAAAGCTGCAGTGTCAGGGATCCTGAAGGAGATACAAATGGAAGGGGCTGAACAATGCATAGAAAAGTTTTTCCGGATTTGCCAGCACAAAGACAAAAATCGATTAATCAAGGTAGTATTCAGGAACAAGACCACCAAAGAGGACATTCTAGTAAAGAATAGTAAACTGAAACACAGTATGTAATGATATACAGAGATATTCCTGCAGAGGGACATGACCAGGGATGAGATAATACAGGCAGTAGATGCAAGGAAAAGGAGGAAGGAGAGGGAAGAGAGCCAGGGAACCTTAGCCTCCAATCCTACAATCCCAGAGGGAAGTGGGGAACCCCAGAAAGGACTGCAACACCCTACCTGCCACCCAATAGGAGCCCCCCCCCCAAATCCCTAGCACAAACCCTCCCTTACCCCTACACAATGGCCACCATACCATCGAAGTCCTCCCTCCCCCCTTACCCTGAGTACCCCCAGCCTCCCCATCCCCTGGTCTTCCTCCTGACCCAAGCAGGCCCTGGCAAGATCTATGCCCATCTCCCCCAAACCCCTGTTAACTACAGCACAGCAGGACGAACTCTCACCTCGAGCACTCCCTGCCCCCCCTTCGCCCCCCCCCCTGAACTTCTCCCTGTCCCAAGCAGGCCTGAACAAGATCTAAGCCCACCATTCCCCACCCCACCTCCCCTCAAACCCTTGTTATCAGCCCTCATCCCCTTGACCTCTTCCTGTCTCAAGTAGGCCTGGGCAAGATCTAAGCCCACCATCCCCCACCCCACAAAAATTGAGAAGAATCAAGACAGATGAAGATAGACAGAGATTACAGGACAACCTGGACAAACTGGCGGAATAGTCTAGAAAATGGCTCCTAAAGTTCAACTTGGGAAAGTGTAAAGTAATAAAATTAGGCAAAGAGAGCAGTAGGGTGAACACAAGGTACCATCTTGAGGTAGTTTTAGTGTCCCCGCGGCCCGGTCCTCGACCAGGCCTCCACCCCCAGGAAGCAGCCCGTGACAGTTGACTAACACCCAGGTACCTGTACCTATTTTACTGCTAGGTAACAGGGGCATAGGGTGAAAGAAACTCTGCCCATTGTTTCTCGCCGGCGCCCGGGATCGAACCCGGGACCACAGGATCACAAGTCCAGTGTGCTGTCCGCTCGGCCGACCGGCTCCCTTACCACCTGGGAGGTAAAATTCTGCACAAGTCAAATAGAGAGAAAGATCTTGGAGTTAATATCACACTGAGCCTGTCCCCAGAAGCCCACATCAAAAGGATATCATCAGCAGCATATGCTAGAGTGGCCAACATATGAACAGCCTTTAGAATCTTGTGTAAGGAATCATTCAGGGCCTTGTATACCACGTATGTCAGCCCAATCCTGGAGTTCATACCTATTTAAACACAAAAAGTTAGAAAAGATTCAGAGCTATGCCACCCGACTAGTCCCAGAACTGAGAGATATGGGTTACGAGGAAAGGCTAAGACAGAAGAGTAAGGGGAGACATGATAACCACCTACAAAATTCTCAGGGGAATTGACAGGGTGGACAGAGATAAACTATTTAGCACAGGTGGAACACGAACAAGGGGACACAGGAGGAAACGTAGTACCTAAATGAACCACAGAGACATTAGAAAGAATTTTTTCAGTGTCATAGTTAATTTAACAAATGGAATGCATTAAGCAGTGATGTGGTGAAGGCAGACTCCATTCACAATTTCAAATGTAGATTTAATAGAGCCCAGTAGGCTCAAGAATCTGTACGCCAATTGATTGACAGTTGAAAGATGGGACCAAAGAGCCAAAGCTCAACCACGTTATTGTGACTCATAACTTTAGCCACGTTATTGTGACTCATCGCCTGCATAATTGTATACACCATTTAAATCAGTTACATTAACTTTAAAACATTTAACTTTACCTTCTGCAGTATGTTAATATATGAGGTAAATATTTTTACTTTGGTATTTGAAGTATTAATGAATAATATGTAAAGGAATGAACAAATCCACAAGGACAGTGATGAGGGTTCGAACCTATGCATGGGATGTTCCCAGTTGCACCTTAGTCAACTGTGCCACATTTGATATACAGTATCACACTATTGTGATTGCTGTGTGTATTGAAGTAAGGGCATAGAGGTAGAAAATTTGGTTGACAGAGCCTGGGTACATGGGGGAATTGTGCGAAAACCCGATTGGGCTTCGGAGAAGTTTTGGGATTCTAGTGAGGGCAGTAGCACTCCAGGTTGCAATTCTTTTAACCACGTCGTGGCACAGTTGACTCGAGGCACAGCTCGGAACATCCCGTGCATAGGTTCGGACCCTCATCACGGCCCTTGTGGATTTGTTCATTCAATATATCTCACTTGTGATTTCTGTGTGTATATAAAGGAATTATAAAACTTGAAGTGTTAGGGAAGTCATCATAAAGTTTAATATAGACATAATCCCATCAGTAACTCCAGAAGTTGACCAACAGAACATCATTTCCAGATTCTTACACGCAAATAAACATAAGAATAGTGTTTTGGAATATAAACAGACTCATTCATGACAATTTACACAGCCTAATTTAGACAAGTATAATATTAGAAAATGCAGCACTGGCATGGATTCTGTACCTAGACAAGGTGAACAAACCGAGCCTCTTAAAAAAAAGGAAATAGGATTAAGGAACATTGGTGTAAACTGGAAAGGGAAATCAAAAGAAACTTAAGAAATTACTACATTCATACTCTGTACAGGTAGTCACCAAGTGAAATGCACTGAAAGGTGGTGTCATGGATGGCACCACCTTTCAACTTTAAAAGCCAACAATACAGAGCAAAAAAAAAAAAAAAAAAGAAAAAAAAAGAAAAAAAAAAGATACAAGTGTAAAAGAAAAAAAAACTAGGTGAGGGACTGGGTTGGGAAATACCTAGCTTCACTCAGGTAATAGTTCTTAGATCTTATGGATACTAGTATTTTATTTCATTAAAAATACCAGCATGTGAGAGTAGTTGAAGCATCTCTGTGCACCTGACTTTGAAAATAAGAACACAAAAGAAAAGGCTTTCTACAAGATCCATAGACAGTATTGTGATAGATCATATTTAGGCAAATACAATAAAAGATTTTACATGTACAGGTAAAAACACATATGTACGAGATTAATGCATCACATAGGCCTTGGAGTTCTGGTATTAAGCAAACCGTGTGAAACATCATACCTGAAAAAAAAACATTAAGTTTATTATGGCAGAGGTACAGCACTGCTTCTGAAAAAATTCAAGTATTTAAAATTCTTGTTCTTAATCTGCACGATTAAAAACTACAAAATGTCGCAAGCCATTTCATTCTCCTTGCCTGTAACTGGTAGAGGAAAGCCTGCAATATAATGAGGGAAATTATACTGGTAAATCAGCATAAGAAGGGTAAGCCTAGTCCATTCTGCCTGCCTTGCCATTTATGTTTATTTTTCTTCCTAACGGCCCATTTATGTTAGATAAAATATAACAAGGTGGAAAATAATAGCAAAGATTCATAACAAAAGCAACCATCACCACCAATTGTTACAAATTTAATTTAAATTCTTGGATATTTGCATCCCATGCCAAGCAGTGCGTCTTCAAGTAGCATGGAACTTTGTTTCTAGTAGCAAAACTTGGCACTGCTTATGCAAAATAGCTTTGCAGAACAAAGTAATCGTTTCACAAAAGTGATAAATCTTCAGTCTGGAAATTGCACTTTTGGCATAATTTGATGTGCTTATTGGGGACTGTATTCCAGATATTCAAATCTTGATCCATCAATTCCACTGATGGATCTGTTCCTTGATGGAACTGCCCCTCCACGGGAAGGTGGCTAAAAACACCAAGACATTCAACTGCCTGCAAATATTGATGATGCCTAAAGGAGCTTTATAATTTTCACTTTCAAGACATTTGATTAAAACTGTACTTGCATATTACAGTATTGACATCTTTATATTTTATTTATTTAGTTTAATCCACCACATTTAAGTGCTTGATATGCTAATGTAGTGATGCAAGAGGAAGCACATTAAAACACTTTCTTGGCGCACTCTCTGCTGGTTAATGCAGCTACATCAAAAACACGGAAAGATGAAGAACATAGGTAAATTAGGGCCTAAGGCTACTTTTCAAAACACTTAGATGAATATATGTTAGATTGCAAGACATTACAATTACAATTGCTTTTCAACAATTGCATGAAGCTAGTAGAGAAGTACAGTAAATCTTTTTGAAACAGATGAAAAGGCAGGCAGAGGAAAGTAACAGATGAAAATAACAAAGAAAAACGTAAAACACACACACAAAGATCATAATACAAAGCTATTTACTCCTCCACATGTTAAAAATAAATTAGATCACAACAAAATGTGATAAAATATAAAAAAATATCCAAAGGACACTTAATTTAGTGATTCAATATCTTTTACAGAAAATAAACTCTGAACTCGTGTGAAGGATGCTTCAAAATGGCAACAAAAATAACAATTTAACCAGTACAATAATACTATTTCTCATATTAATTAAGCATCGTGTACGGTAGTCATGTTGTCCAGTCTTGCATATGGTTACAATAATTTATATGTACGTTTTCTACAGAGAAATCATGTTAGAATTTTTAAATGCTAAACACTACATTATAATTGAACAAAAGCCATGCTGTTAAATACTGCACAGTTTTATTATTCAGTCCAAGTCATGTTACCTAGTTAGGGTGAATATATATTTCATTAATTTGGTAAATACTGTGAGTAGATAAATGCTTTTGCATTCAACTTAACTGAAAGCAACTACAGCAAGTATATTCCCGATGCTATAATTCTTTGGGAAACCCATTCTACCAGGTGAAATGCAATGTGCCATTAAGTAACTAGTTCCAATGCATATATGTGCGGCTTAAATAAAAAATCAAATAAAAAGCAAAAATACAAATATTAAGAAGAAAGAACATGCATTAGAGTTCATTAAAAGCTTTTGGTTAGTAAGCACTTTATCTAAAACAAAAAGTACAATATAAGATATTAACAAATTAACAGAAGCAGTGAAGAAAGTTAAGTGTTTTATGTAAATGCTGTTGTGCATTAAAAAAAAAAAAGACAAAAGTCAGAGGTCAATATTGATACTGAGGGTTGGGCCAGGGCAGGCAACTAACAGTTTGGTCAGGGAGACATAATTGGCATCCAAAGGTTGGGCGAGAAACCGTTAAAGATGTCATACACCCTCATAATGTTTTGTACTGATACTGTCAGTCTACTGTTATGTGCAACAGGGAAATTGGGGATATGTAAGCACACTAGTGTTAAATTAGGCACACAAGAATTCCTAATATGGCCTTCATCTTGGGACTTACTACTCTAAAACTGTTAACCTAGTTCAGGTTATTAGGCCAAAGTTAGGAAATGTTTAGTGATGTCATCCCATGACCTTCCTGTTAGATATTGTGGACTAGGCTTACCAGTGATGCCGCCTTCGGCATACGCGATGCCAACTTCCTTACTGGGATCACGTCCTAAAGTGCCACGGAGGATTTCATTAGGTATGTCTCCATCTTCACCCACACCATGTGGAACAATGTTGGGATTAGTGCTGTCCTTAGCTGGAGATAGTGGAGGGATTTTATTACTCTCCAAGGATGGGTAATCCTCCTCCGGAGGTGGGTCATATATGGTCGAGTGATCCACCGACCCTGCAGATACAAAGGGTCAATAGGTCAGACCGACACAGAATTTCCCTTTCCTGTAGAAAGCAACAGAAAACTGCAAGCCTTGGATAGAGTCCATCACCAACATGCAAGAAAAAAGTTACCCTGCAGTGGAGAAAAAATTAATATTCTTACATTATTAAATAACCATTTCAATATATTCAAATTAAAAGTCAATAAAAATTTTACTCTATGATAAAATCAGTGATACATTTGATTTGCATGACAATATAATAACTTTCAATCTCTTTCTGGAACCTGAAAACCCCATGCTGTTGTCTGTAAGAGGGAGCTTCTGAAGTAGACATCTTTAGCTGGTAGTGCAAAAGAATGAAGAAGGTTTACAAGTCGAGAAGAATTTCTCGGGTATCTAACATCACAAAGCACATTCATGCAGGGTTAGTATGGTATGGTAGACCTATGATTTACTTGAATTTTCCACCTGAAATTCCAAGTCCATGACATTAAGGCTCAGTTCAACTAGCGAGCAAAACACCTGAGCCACACAATGTTGAGCTACACAGTGCCATGTATTTTGTCTGCTTTAGTTCGAATTATAAACACACAAGCAAAAGCCAGTAATACTGTACTTCAAACAGTCTAATGTTGCAATGTATACAAAATTTAATTAAATTTAAATCAAACAAAATGTACATATGAAATGTATAATTAATTTTAAAGCAGATATGGGTCTATGGAAACATGGCACTAGATAGGTCACTGTGCTGCAAAACTGACCCTCGGTGGGAAAAACTTCAGTAACTGGGGATGGACGCGAGGAGGGAGGCTCAGGACACACACATGGAGCACACGTCTCCACCTCTGGGGGACTTGGAGCCTCTGTGAGCACAGCACAACCCAAGTGCAAAATTAGATGGATCCAACGCCAAAGTAGAAATTCCTTTATTTTATGGTGACTAGTCCTTCAGGAATGCACCAATCATAATTTCAAACCGATTATTGATAAGCCTAATGCATCCTGAGCCAGGAGAATTCCTCTATACCATAAAACTCGCAATCTTACCAGGAAAATACTTGTACACTGTATAAAAAATTGCACCATTCCTAATGCAGTGTAGTAGGAAATTATATTTCAAATATCTAACTATAAACATTTAAATTGTTAAGTATTGTAATAAGCAGCTATAATCATCTGCACATAGACCATAATCATACATTCATTGCAAACTTTTAATCAAGTTTAATTATGCAGTAGTTGTTACCTCACTCAAGTTTAACATTAATGTAAATGACCTAACTATCAGAATTCATTTATGTTAAATAAATTTACAGGATGCTTATTATCCAGATTAATTTGCTAGTTACCTTAATAATACAAATTACTCTATCAAACAGCATAAGTATTAGTTCACATACAATAAAAAGGACAAATCACGTCGTATATAACTCCACAAAAGCCTAAAAAAGACTACTGAATCACGCAAGAATAAGATAATACAACATAATTTACACAAGTTGAATAAGTGCCATTCCTAAAGTTAGCTGGTAAAGCTGGGTGTGGTGGTGCTTGGTGCTATATGTTCATATCAAGTAACTAAGCAGAGATCTTGAAATGTGCAAAGTTTGGTGCCAAAATTTAGGAAATCTCAAAGTGTGCTCTGTGAAGTGTGCACTTAAAAAGGGATAAATACAGCATACATTGTAAAATTAAATAAAACACGGCATACCTTGTAAAACATTTAAACAAAATATGGCAGTGAGCCAAAGAACAACAATATGAAAATGTGTAAATATATTTACAGAGCATTATTTTTATGAAATTAACATACAGTATATCATTAAAAGGAGCAAGTCTGTGCATGCACAAACATGTGCTGTACATATACAGTACAGTACTATCAAAAGTGGTAAAATGTTGATTTATGCATACGATACTGTAAAAGAAAACCCAAATAGGAAAATCTTTGCCAATAACTTACCAGTTGTTTGAATCTGGGTAGATGGATTGTACACTTCATTCTCTGCACCTGTAATAAAGCGTGGCCATGCTAAGCACAGATGCAACGAGACAATAATGACACGAGGGATGTTTTCACTGAACTAACATACTACTTAAATTAAAGTATTAACAAAAAGAACTGTTGCAAAAGTTTACAGAGGTTATAAAAGTATACAAGCTACACGACTAGAGAGTTTTAAGCATCAAAATGTAAGGGAGATAAATTGCACTCTTGATAATTTTTCATTGCAGTAGGGTACAAGCTACCAGAAAGAATATGGGAATGCATGAATAATAACAATAACTAGTTTGAGCCTGAAAGAAGTGAAACAAGTCCTTACACAAGGAAATTCCACCATGTTCCTAATCACATGGCTTCAGTGTATTGCCACAATGCTGTTTTATGCAAAAGATTATTTGAAGGGAAACTTCAAATACTTGAATGAGTAATACAAATGAGCTTAGCAGCACAGAAAAAAAAACAAAAAAAATCTTGCATGATTTTGGAACCGATTGTTTTTAATTAACAAAACTGAACTTTGTGAGCACCAAAGGTTAATGTTTTAACAATGCACAGCAGGTTATTATGACTACAGTGTTTTGATCAGTGCTATGCACAAAAAATCCATTCTCAGTTATTAAATTGTGCAGATATTTAGTTTAACCATTTCATTCACACCAGACAATGTCCAATGCCTGTTAGGTAGTGGAATGTATATACAGTACAACATGTTGGGAAAACTAACACTTGCTATTTCACAACTAAACGACAAACAAACATCACAAGCATTTTAGTAGAATTAAAATATTTCTACAAAACATAACATGTAGTGTATCTAACATTTACCTAATTAAAATCATTCATGTCAATCTAAACGCTTAACTACAATCAATCGGGACTTACTGAATGGGCAAGGGTAATGGCTCCCAGTGATGTTCTGTAGAATAGGTCCGGTGAGCTTTGCACCAAGTGGGCCGCAGCTTCCATGCCCCTCATACCAGGCACAGTATGGGTCTTGTAGTCCCACACATGCACTGTTGATGTACCATTACATTATGAAATTGTTGTTCTTCTACAAGCTGAGAAGAACAATTTAAAATACTTTTAAGAGGTGAATACACAAAAATCAATGCCGACTATATTGTATATTGTAATATGACTCATCTTGAGAAGTTATTACATTTTTTTTGCAGATACAAATTATAATTCAAACCTATTTAAACATATACCGGTAATATTATAAGACCACACCTTTTTTGGACTCTCGGCCCTACTTTCCAATACAGTATTAAAAAACCTGACCCTCTGTTACACTTTCATCATTTACAATTTTGTTTTTTCCAAAAAATTTAGAAACACTCATTAAGAGAAAGAACACTGATGCCAGCTTCTAACATTGCTGGATGGGAACTAGCAATAATATGGTCCTCAAACGGTAAATATGGCACAGTCTTTACCTGCAAGTGGTGGCTCGGTGACAGCGGTGTAAAGGAATCGATTTAACCTCGTCATCAGTGATGATAATTAGCTTGCTTTCTCCTCCTGCTTGTTGTGCTATTTGCAGGTTCATGATGGGAACTGGGTGCTCAAAAGCACGTATTTCTTCAATCACCACTGGTTCAATATTACTGCAAATAACCCATTGATTCATTTTACCTAGCTTTCATAGCATGACCTGCCGCAACAAAATTTGTTGCTTTTATTTTTAAATACCTACAGTATGTACTGTACCAGGTGACACCCGTTATATATGAAAACACTACAGAAGAGGATTACAAATCTCAAAATTTTCAGTTTTCTTCAGTCAGTTATATCATTAACCTGGCATGTATACATTTCAATACATATCCCTCAGACTCCCCTGCTTATTTAGAGCAAACTATTATATATTAAATTTTTTTACATTAATTAGTATTGTAGGGAACTGAATAAGGAGGAAATATGCTTACTTTATGCCTTCTGATGCAAGAGTGTTGATAGCTTTAAAGATTATACCATTGTCTGTGGCAATGAAGAGCACATCAACAGACTTGCCATCCAAAAATGTAACTTGAGGGTCCACCACCATCTTTGAGAAACGATATCTGCACCAACAAGGAAGAAATTAGTCTAATGCATATTACTGGCTTAAAAATACAGTATACCACATTGCTATCTTTTATAGTTTGGTGCTACACTCAAGACAATGACCATAACAATTTTCTTCAAGGCACTTAAAATCTGCCTTGAAGTGTTAAATAAAATTATTAAAGGACCAACTAAAATATCAAGCATGTTTCATACTGGAGCCAAACTTCAAACAGTATTGTATATAGAAATCAACATCTTTAAAATGTTGCAAATGTGCATGCGTGCTATGTACTGACTTTATTGACTTTGCAATCCCACTGTTCTAATCACACTTGCACTCTTAACTTTCTGAACAACATACATGGTTATCCGATTGTAAATTTTATCTCTTCTAATTCTTATTTATTAATGTCATACAATAAATACATCTTGCATCCATAAGGACTGGCACTATCATTTCCCCACAAGTTATACCCCCCACTCCAATGCCAGCCAAGTTCACTATGGGCTCACCATAGCCCATGCTACTTGGAACTTTTTGTTCCCAGTAGCCGAATCTAAAACAACAACAATGCTCCCCCATGCAACCCACTGACTACACCTCTTCATCTCACCGGTCACTTTCTTGCCCCATCTCTACTTCTCTTTTGCAAATTTCTATTATCACTCGCACATCCTAGGTATACTGATCAACTACCAGAAATTCATTCAGACATTTCTCTTCCATCTCCACCAGAAACAATTGTAAGCCGAATGTAACTATAACAATTATCTATACTGTAGAATATAAAAAATTTAGATTTGACAAAAAGAAATGAGCTATTTATTTTTAACTTTGAAAATTGTGAACAAGGCAGTAACATAAGTTAGAATACATTTATAGAGTAATGTATATCTTTCGACAAATTCTTAAAAAGTAGTGCACTGAAATGATCTATGGCATTACATTTTGATCACTTTGCAAAGAACTTGAAATAATATAGTAATGAACATGCAGTAATTAAAATATAATCATGAATTAATGAACATGCATTTAAACAGTGATATACTGTATATAGGTACACACTAAAATGCTATCTTGTACCAATAATAAACGGCCCTATATTTGTACATTCTGAATAATTAAATTCTGAATTAAATCAACATTAATAGATATATAAATGACCTTATATTACACAAGGTAATATAATACATTTCTATATATTTATTTCTGTATTCATTTCTGAACAGAAAAAATTCTTTGCTATTTCTGAAATGATTAAATTCGGCAAATTCTATACAGCATGTCACAAAATACCTGTACTGACAAGTCTTAAAACCATCCTATCAGTGTAATTTGTAATTGCAAAAGACATGAAATTTCATAAATTTATTAAACCTACTCAAATGAAGCCTTCATTAGGAGAGGTCGACCAAAGAAGGCAGGAACAGCTTCATCCATTAGTGGATGATTCTTAGCAAAGTCAATATTTAATTCAGGAAGTGTCTGGCTATCTTCAACACAACTTCCTGGACGGGGCTCTGGCACCTGTTAATAACATGGAATATTACCTTAAATCTTTTTAAAAAGTTCCAAATAAAAAAAAATTTAAACTAACATTTCCAAATTGTAATAAATAATTACAAGCAATCGCTATTTGATTTAATTTATTCCTTTACTTGTACAGTAAGCATTGAATGGTTACCGTAACCTGACGAACTGGCAGCCAATTGGAGTTTAATGTCTTTTGCTCTTTGAAGGATCCCTCAAAGGTGTCCAAAATAGATCTCATAGAAAATGCACACACAGCTGATCCCGGAATCGAGTTGGGTGGGGTGGTGAATACTGCATATATAATTTTGTGGGTTTCACCTCCGTACACGCCCGAAATCACATCTGTCGTCGACTCTGATATTTAAAAAATGTCATTAGCATCATATACATAATTTATAAAAGGTATGGCAATGTAAACAAATCTATACTGTTTTAATTTTGTATACAAAACAGTAACAGGAAAATATTATGCCATTGGTTTTCTTTAATGAATAAATTTACGTAACGTACGGATCTCATCAAAGTAGAAGGGGTAGTCCCCTGGAACGGAACAGTTGAGTCTGCTCTTAAGAAATGAAGTCCATGATAACTTGAAGCGTTGCTGTCCACCTCCCCTGTCTCCTTTACACACACGGGCTACTCTCGAGTACACACGTTTTCCACAGTTCATGTATTCAACTGCAGTCTCCCGGAAGAAGAAGAAGACAAAGTCTCCGTAGTCGAACGAGTGCACAAAATCTGGTGCTAATGAGGGGGAAAAAACAATTGGTTACTAAGTATTACTGCTAGATGAATATTTGATTTGTTTGAAATAATAAGCATAATAGCTTACCACAGTTTATATATATTGTAAATACTTAACAGTTGATAACTTTTACATTGAGAAACTAAAGATAAGGCAAGGCAATCCTCAGGAAAAAGGTCTAATCGAATATGACTATACAGTATAGCAATTTGAAGGAAACCTGACAAGGTGAAGGAAAACAAAGAAAAAGACTTCTGCCGTACCAGCCAGTTTAAGGGAATACCAAACTAAAATAAATTAAGAGAATTTTCACATTAAGTTACCATTTAACTGTGTGTATTCATTATGATCCGTCTTGAGAGGAGATCTGATGATGATGGAGCTTGTGCCTTGAAAGTCCGCCACTGTCCCAGAGTATAACTCCCCATCTGTAAATAAGTTAAGATTCAAATTGATGTCATTTGCCCACACCCCCAACCCATAGGTGGGTTCAAGAGCAGATCACACATCTGTGACATATTTTCATTGCATCTGAAGAAATATAACAGGACTATAGTACACTAATTATACAACAGATTTACCCCACATGGATTTTTTTTTCTAATTATCATTATGTTGGATTAAGTTACAAGTTTTATCGGATTTACAGAAATGTGAGGATTCATGCGATATATGATACATTTAGAATTTTTCTCCTCTTGCAAGGAGAAATCCAAGCTTCTCTTGTGACTATCTACCATGTCCCTTAAACTAGTGCTCTGTGGTCCCAAGATAAACATGGCAAATTTCTTGCTTTTTATTCAGTTATACTGTATCGACAATTGTCTGACGTTCATACCTCCCTCCTCTATATAAAGAACTCGTACCAATGGATGATGGAGTCATTTACACTACAAATCACTATAAATTGATACTGAATACAAGGAATTCCAAAAAAAGAGCAGCAACTTATGTCAATAAATGTATAGTATGGCAATCAAATTCTAAAACTCGTGTTATGTTTAATTTCAATTAAAATACCAGTGAAATGTAATAAAAAGGTTAACTTAAAACTAAAAATAAAATAAACATCTTTCACACAGCAATAAACAAATCCTAAACACTTCAGTGTTTAGCAATTAAGACAAAAATATATATTAGTGTGACTGACCGACATAAACGAAGGTAGAGTTGTGTCTGGGGTCGTATGGGCACTTGCCAGCACCGTTGGTCTCCGTGAAGTTGAAGCTCCCGTCCATCTGTTGAGGTTTATCATATTAGTTCATCATGGCCCATAGACCCATTGTGTGCGCGGCGGCAATTCAATTTGTTTATTATGCACCTCATACCCATCACGTGGGCAACTCGTTGCCCACTGTGTAAAGGGTTACAGAGGCACATAATCGGTTCAGGAACTGAACCCTCTAGTTCGTTTAGCTAAGCAAATAACAATCTTTTGACGCTAGTTACACAATTATTAATGTTATATATACATGTACACATACTCATACATATACGTATGAATATCCTGTACACCTTCGAGTGCTCCTTCGAGTCACTTCTTGAGTGCGAGTTTTCGGTTGCATATATGCCTGGGGACCATTCAGGCTTGTTCACATATATGCCTGGGGACCATTCAGGCTTGTTCGCAAATATGCCTGGGGACCATTCAGGCTTGTTCGCATATATGCCTGGGGACCATTCAGGCTTGTTCGCATATATGCCTGGGGACCATTCAGGCTTGTTCGCATACATATACATATATACATACAATCACCTACAGAAATACACACATCAATAATCTTTTGTATCACAAGTGATTCAAGAAAAGGCTCACAACAGTCACTATACAGAGCACTTTACATCTATGGTGAGTCAGTTACTAGTCTTGCTCCAGGGATGGAGGTTACACATGATGGCTTCAGGAACTGAATACGCACAATACACACACAAATCACAATAATGTGATGCATCAATGAACAAAGAGTGTCTGGGATGCTCACAGACGTAGGTTCGAATCCTCGTCACGGCCCTTGTGGATATGTTCTTTAAGTGAATGCAAGTTTACAGAGACAAACGAGTTGCTACAGTTTACAAGTGTGGCTTATTAGCATAACAGCGATTTACTGGTGTACACTGATGGCATGCTACTCTAAACAAACAAAAGGACTATGTCCTCTCACTGGGAAGTATAATAGGCTATAGTTCCTTTGTCGCCTGAACAATTCAGTTTTGTGCGCCATGCTGAAAATGCCAACCATTTCTAATTAAAAGGATCACCAGAAGAATCGCTATACCAGAGTGCTCGCCTTGAAGACGCCCATCTTACTACTTCATCTCACTTTTGATTGTTCTAATGTGGCATATTGTTAACCTCCCCCCCCCCCCACCACCACGTTGTATAGGCCTACGCCCAGCCACCTACCACTTAGCCCCAATGACCCCTCGAACCACGGTAGTAGTGCCAAAGCATCCACCGTTGAGAAATATATCAGGGCCACTTGGACACACTTTAAAGAACCCGGTTAAGTCTTTGTCTTCCCCCAAATGAGCACCACCTTCAATACCAGCGTCTTTTGTGGGGGTGAAGGCGCTCCTGACACACCCACCCCCACCAGTGTAATAAATGATCAGTAGGACGAGTTGTGGGGACGGGAGACATCTCCCGTCACGCAGGGTGCAGTCGCACCTCCACAGATCTCCAGTATCAGCTCTTGATACTGGTAATGGCTCAAAAGGGCCACCACCACTTACGGTCTATTCATGCCCGTGCCACCTTTTGGGTGGCTTAATCTTCATCAATCATCAATCGAGTTGTGGGGAAAGGAAAGGGAATTATCAGGAGGGGGGGGCGCGCCAAGCCATTGCGATTATATAGCATTCGGAAGGGGTCAGGATAAGGATTTGGGATGGGACGGGGGGGGGGGTTGAGGAATGGTACCCAACCACTTGTGGACGGTCGGGGATTGAACGCCGACCTGCGAAGCTACTTTAAACCTCCATTTTTCTTAGCATTCCAATAAAATCTTTAGCGGCTGACATTAACCATTACTCTATACTCTTTCAATCATTTATCCTTCCTCGCCTTTATCATCCCCAACATCACGTCTCCGTATCTTATTATCTAACATCGCTTCCTAGGCTATTTACAAAAAAATCGGAAATTACAAACTGTAATCCTACTACAGTACTATGGCAATTATTTGTATAGAAATGCACTAATCTTCATGCTATCACGATGATAATGTGGCTACCAGAATTCGACGCAAATAAATGCAATGTAATAAAACTATCCTAGTGACAATGGGGGCGATCATGTGAGGTCATATTTGTTGACCAAACCCCACACTAGAGATTGAAGAGACGACGACGTTTCGGTCCGTCTTGGACCATTCTCAAGTCGATTGTGATAATGATCGACTTGAGAATGGTCCAGGACGGACCGAAACGTCGACATAAAAGGTTACCGATTGTTAAGTAGTAGTGAAGTGATAAGACGCACACTCCATCATACGCAGCTCTGAATGTAAATATGATAAAATCCCAAAGACAGGATGAGGGATCCCAAGAACTGAAACTCAACCTCCCCCAGCAGCGCAATTTATGCGAGTAGACGCGAGAGCGCGCCACCAGTTAGCCAATCCGGCCACCAACGGCGTACTCTGTCGAAGAAAAACGGGGAACTTGTCGGCATTAACAGTTCTAATAAAACGGAGTGAATGCGCGAGAAGATTGCTGGGAGATGCAAATAAGAGGATTGACGACTGGGTTTATGGCATGGCCATGCAGATGAGGTTAGACCCCCACGCATCACTGAAATCGAAGTATTGACAGAAATCCTCAATCCGGGTCAGTTCGGGATTACAAACACTACTGTAAATGTGAACCAAGAGCCTTAGAAAACACCGATAATATAATATAGTTTGTGTGCTTTAGTGGCAACACAAATTTTATATTCGCATGCTGTAGCCTCCAATCACCGTCCAAATCTAGCTTTTATCGTCAAATTAACGTACACCTTAGACAAAAGATTAATAGTGCCTTAAGAAAGATTTAACTGCTGCAAATGATTCCGTTTAATCTGGTGTAGTAAAGTGACCATCCTACCACCCTACTGCAGAGTCCCTTGTAGGCAAGGGGTCCCCCCTGAAGCATTAAGGACCATCAAGAGAGAAGCAGTTAGGGTGTGGTAGTGAAGGAGGGGAGCTGTAAGATCAATTAGGCTGTTGGGACAAGCTGGGTGGTTGCACTCTGAGCTAAAGAGACATGGGAGTTTGCCCAAAGCTACAGCACTCCCCGCGTCCGTGTTTAGCAAGTGTTTATTTGTAATATTTAACATGTAAAATGTCATTTTCTTCATTTTCTTGCGATTCCTTATCCTGATATTTAGGTAAACAGGAATATTTTAAGTCACAAGAACGTGATAAGGGGGTCAGGCCTGAGTGTAACCGCCATATTCCTATCTCAACATGTTTGGCCTGGTTATTTATAACTGTTATAACATCGTGTTCATGATTAGATATTACTCTGATTCTCAAGTGAACAATGAACAAGTTTCACGAGCATTACCGATGTGAACCATTAAATAGCAACTACTGTGAACTATGTATTTATATCATTTAAGAAATGATGAATAATGCCTCTAGGACAGTCAAGCTCGAGTAAGGGGGCTAAATGTAAAATAAATGGCAGCACTATTAATTGACACCAACCACTTGTCACAATGGTGCATGGTTCAATGATTAATAATAATTACATTCTTGTTATTTTCATTTCTTAAGTCCCTTGTTTAATGAACTGTTTTAAACTATACGTAACCGATGTGTCTAGTCTTAACCCTAAATAAGCCTAAAACTACTTAATTAATATCAAAGAACAGGGAGACGTGTTTTTTTTAACCAAAGAATATTACCATTAAGTCCTGCTTCAAAGATTATCATGTATATACATCTCGTTATTGAGATACCAGATCGCTTGCCAAGTTTCACATTTATGACTAATTCATGTTAGGTTTAGTAATTGTTATTAACAGATTTCAAGTTACCTGTACACACACAAATTGTGATTACAACAGCTTACCTGTTGAGCATAGTGACGGCAGAGAGGCTTGTAGGCGTTGGTGCCACACACAAGGAACTGACCCTCGCCTTCCTTGGCCAAAACTCTGATGTAGTTCTGACACTCGTCCTGCGGGAGAGAGTAATAGTCACATTATTGCGAAGAAACCTCACATAAAGATCGCCGCCTAGCGTCTGTTACAAGGTCCAAAACCTACACCAGAGATGACTTCTCCTGGGTACATAAAACTGTGTGTACTTACTACTTTTACCTACACACACTCACCTTACATTCCGACTGTCAGCGTTACACAGATAGAAATAATACATTTCAGGAAGCTATTTTTAACAATGATTAGGCTAAAAATACTTTTCAGTACATCGTCAGTCGCCGATGTCAACATTCGGCCGAAACAGTCGCCCAGGTCCAAAGTCTTGTGTCCTAAATTTACCAAACATTACTTTGGTCTTCAACAGGCGCCCTCGACGATTTTCTTAGCCTGTTTAAACACACAAAGCAACCGGCATTCTCCACTGTAGCACAGTCCTGCCACCGGTGCTAGGCTAACCAACACCCCTGCCACCGGTGCTAGGCTAACCAACCATCCTGCCACCGGTGCTAGGCTAACCAACCATCCTGCCACCGGTGCTAGGCTAACCAACCATCCTGCCACCGGTGCTAGGCTAACCAACACCCCTGCCACCGGTGCTAGGCTAACCAACCATCCTGCCACCGGTGCTAGGCTAACCAACCATCCTGCCACCGGTGCTAGGCTAACCAACACCCCTGCCACCGGTGCTAGGCTAACCAACACCCCTGCCACCGGTGCTAGGCTAACCAACACCCCTGCCACCGGTGCTAGGCTAACCAACACCCCTGCCACCGGTGCTAGGCTAACCAACACCCCTGCCACCGGTGTTAGGCTAACCAACACCCCTGCCACCGGTGCTAGGCTAACCAACACCCCTGCCACCGGTGCTAGGCTAACCAACACCCCTGCCACCGGTGCTAGGCTAACCAACACCCCTGCCACCGGTGCTAGGCTAACCAACACCCCTGCCACCGGTGCTAGGCTAACCAACACCCCTGCCACCGGTGCTAGGCTAACCAACACTCCTGCCACCGATGCTAGGCTAACCAACACTCCTGCCACCGGTGCTAGGCTAACCAACCATCCTGCCACCGGTGCTAGGCTAACCAACAACCCCTGCCACCGGTGCTAGGCTAACCAACAACCCTGCCACCGGTGCTAGGCTAACCAACAACCCCTGCCACCGGTGCTAGGCTAACCAACACCCCTGCCACCGGTGCTAGGCTAACCAACAACCCTGCCACCGGTGCTAGGCTAACCAACAACCCTGCCACCGGTGCTAGGCTAACCAACAACCCCTGCCACCGGTGCTAGGCTAACCAACCATCCTGCCACCGGTGCTAGGCTAACCAACACCCCTGCCACCGGTGCTAGGCTAACCAACCACCCTGCCACCGGTGCTAGGCTAACCAACACCCCTGCCACCGGTGCTAGGCTAACCAACACCCCTGCCACCGGTACTAGGCTAACCAACAACCCTGCCACAGGTGCTAGGCTAACCAACACCCCTGCCACCGGTGCTAGGCTAACCAACAACCCTGCCACCAGCCCAAACCACGCAAACAGTACAACCCTTCAACAACATCCCTCTAAACTTTGACCATGAACCTCTAATTTTGTAAACTCTGAAATAATGTTTTAAAATGAGCGAGTTTGGTGTTAATTCGCTGAAGTCACAGCGCAGGCAGCGGGTCTTCGGAGACCCTGTCATTAAATGGTGATGAGGACTAAATGCTCTCTGGCACTAATCTATTTCCCCGACAATGAAATCCAGTATTAAGCTCCGAGTCCTGGGAACCGGAACGAGACGTAATGGCAACCCGTCAGGGGTAATTTAAATTGAAACGAAATGTATTATACATCAATCTCTGATGTAACAAGTGTAGTGTACATAAATTATAAAGATAACACAGTTCCAGGATTGATTTATCAAATATTTTTTACGGGGTTATCTACCTTTCCAGGAGTTATTATTTGTGGTCTTACTACGCGAGGTCTGGAGTCCCATCACTTTGGGGGCTACTGCGGCGACCGGGATTCTTGCAAGTCTGCGTTCGATCCCAGAAAGTAAAGTGGTTGTGCTCCGTTCCATTAATTATTAGGCTCACAAGCCGAAGTTTTTTTCAGCTTAGGCCTAAATCCGGCTGAGTGTGGATGAGTGGAAGCGTTAATCACACGCATTATGCTATCTAAAATAAAAAAGATAACAATATACCTTAAAATATCCCTTTAGTCCCTTAAAATATTCTTTGGAATTGCGGCTCTGATTTCAAATATAATTCTGGTCTTGGCTTACTGCAGGCGATAGTGCAGAGATTTCTGTAACTCGTCACTCTGATACCGGTTATAAGTGTTCAAAAGTGTTCAACCGTACTTAACTATGAACAAGAATCCTCTTACAAGTGTTTACGAACATTATACGTTAACACTTACCCCCCACTCAAGTGTATCATTATAATACCAGACCACCATTTAAGGCATCAAGTTTGATAATATGAAGACCGAGTCAAAAATGTGGGGTGTAACTATTTTATATCAAGTTTTGTGAGCCGCGAGAATGGTGTTGAAAGCGAGGAGGTGATAAGTTTGCTGGCGGGGGGAGGGGGAGGGAATGATGGGAAGGGGGAGAGACAGCGGGGGAGGGGGGATGATGGGGAGGGGGTTGATAGTGACTGGGAGTGGCCGGCGGCTTGACCCACAACTCAAGCTGTCAAGCTGTCAAGCTTCCGCAACATTGCTGGAACACCTCACTTCCCCACTAAGGCACTGAATCCCGTTTTCTTCACGGCAAAAAAATCAGAAAAAAACACAGCTGTATATAGGACAAAGTATACACACTTCTTTCTTATCTAGAGTATGTCAACAAACCAATAGATATTAATGCAGCAGGTATCTACACATCCTGGCCCCCATGCTCTCCCCAGCCAGCCAGCCAGCCAACAGTCTCACTGCATAACAAAAGACAAATCACTTTTTCCCTCTACTGCCACACCACTAAAAAATGCCCTGATTAATTGCACATTCTGAGGCCACAATTTTCCACGTGCTACCGGCTTTGAACGGCGGCCATTGTGGGGAGGAAAAGGCGGGAACGACAAGCGGGTTCAAATTATTCCACTTCACCTCATGTCTATGAAACTCCCCACAAAAGTTTCAAGTAGCCAAAAAAAAAATACGCGGTCAATCACGTACACTTTTAAATTCTTAAGGAAGAAACTTTTGAAGAAAATACGCATTAACTTTCTCAGTAATATTTATCGTACACAATATGTAAAATTCCTTCGTTTGCAGCCAATCGAGAAAGGTATTTATGGTCATTTATGCCGGACATCTCTCAACGGTATTGTTTATTATTCTTAAAGCTGCAAAATCTGCCCATCAGGTTTACCATGTGCTGGTTCCGGGAATCAGTGTCGCCCGATTGGTCGTCTGGTCAACCAAGCTGTTAGACGTAGCTGCTCGCAGTCTGACGTATGACTCGCAGCTCGGTTAATGCGGTATCCTTTGGAGGTGTTTATCAAGTTCTCTTTTGAACATAGCAAGATGTTGGTTAGTTTTGCCCCTTATGTATAGAGGAAGAGTGCTGAAAAGCCTTGAGCCCTTTATGTTAATTACCTGGTCGATAATTGGTTGATGGGGTTCTGGGAGTTGTTCTACTGCCCAAGCCCGGCCCGAGGCCAGGCTTGACTTGTGAGAGTTTGGTCCACCAGGCTGTTGCTTGGAGCGGCCCGCAGGCCCACATATACCTGCTTGATGGGGTTCTGGGAGTTCTTCAACTGCCCAAGCCCGGCCCGAGGCCAGGCTTGACTTGAGAGAGTTTGGTCCACTAGGCTGTTGATTGTAGCGGCCCGCAGGCCCACCACAGCCCGGTTGGTCCAGCACTCCTTGGAGGAAACAATCTAATTTCCTCTTGGAGATGTCTACGGTTGTTCCGGCAATATTTCAAATGCTCGCCGAATATTTGCATCATTAGTACACTGTGAACAATGTACTTCACTATTTGAATTCGTCTTGGAATAGATTATTGGATGTGTTGGGAGTTAAGGGTGTCGGAGGTGTACAAACATGAACAAATCCACAAGGGCCGTGACGAGGATTCTTTGTATTTGGATACAAAATATATTTGTGTTGGATACCCAGGTGGCCCTCAATGTACCCCAGTTGGCCCTCAATGTACCCCAGTTGGCCCTCAATGTACCCCAGGTGGCCTTCAATGTACCCCAGGTGGCCCTCAATGTACCCCAGGTGGCCCTCAATGTACCCAAGGTGGCCCTCAATGTACCCAAGGTGGCCCTCAATGTACCCCAGGTGGCCCTCAATGTACCCCAGGTGGCCCTCAATGTACCCAAGGTGGCCCTCTCTGTACCCCAGGTGGCCCTCAGTGTACCCCAGGTGGCCCTCAGTGTACCCCAGGTGGCCCTCAGTGTACCCCAAGTGGCCCTCAGTGTACCCCAAGTGGCCCTAAATGTACCCCAGGTGGCCCTCAATGTACCCCAGGTGGCCCTCAATGTACCCAAGGTGGCCCTCAATGTACCCAAGGTGGCCCTCTCTGTACCCCAGGTGGCCCTCAGTGTACCCCAGGTGGCCCTCAGTGTACCCCAAGTGGCCCTCAGTGTACCCCAAGTGGCCCTCAGTGTACCCCAGGTGGCCCTCAGTGTACCCCAGGTGGCCCTCAGTGTACCCCAGGTGGCCCTCAATATACCCAAGTGGCCCTCAATGTACCCAAATTGCCCTCAATGTACCCAAGTGGCCCTCAGTGTACCCCAGGTGGCCCTCAGTGTACCCCAGGTGGCCCTCAGTGTACCCCAGGTGGCCCTCAATGTACCCAAGTGGCCCTCAATGTACCCAAGTGGCCCTCAATGTACCCAAATTGCCCTCAATGTACCCAAATTGCCCTCAATGTACCCAAGTGGCCCTCAGTGTACCCCAAGTGGCCCTCAATGTACCCAAGTGGCCCTCAATGTACCCAAGTGGCCCTCAATGTACCCAAGCGGCCCTCAGTAACCATCTTTCGTTGATTACCAATACTACATATGGA